AACACTGAGGTTCAGAGAAAGTAAGTAATTTGCCCAAGGCCATGTGGCTAAGGAATAACAGACCAGAATTTAACTCAGGCCTCTCTGACTGCAAAGCCCAAGTGCTCTCCGTGATAACTGGCTGGGCTGCATTCCACAGCTGCCAGCCCAGAGCTGAAGGCTCTGTCTAACGTCTGGTGTAAAAGAGGCAGAACAAGGTGAGTCCCCCTTCTGCCTCACCAGAGTGTCACAAGGTGGAAATAGAGTTATGTGTCCAAAAAATAAATCCATCAATCAATCATGGAAGGAAGAAAGAAAATGTACAAAAGAGGATTTGCTCAAACCATGAAGTGATTGGCAAGATCCACGGTCAGTCTCTAAGGCCTCTGTGACAGTAAGCTGTGTCTGAGGGCAGTGGTTTAGAACTTACTTTGGCAATGCACTTAGCTGAGCCCCAAGGCCATGCTACTCCCCTTTGACGGCACCACACTAGAGATTCAGGTGGCCTGGCAGGCCCACAAGTCCCACTGGAACAGCAAAGAAGGACCGAGACCAATGCTGAAAACCAGCTAATGGCTGACAGCCTCTCCATTGCCCTTTCCCAAGCTGACATCCAGCATGGACTCCGGCATATTTCCTTTGCCCTATTTATTCAGTCATCATATGTCTGAAGTAGCCTGATTTCATGTCATGTTATTCTATACGATCAAAGCAATGAAGTGTCTAATAAATGTGATCCCATCCAGACAACTTTGAAATGTTTCATATAATAAATTCACAAGTCAAAAAAAAGTCTTTTGTTGGACTTTCTGAACCCTGTTTCCATTCGGAAAACATAGTCACCATATTTATAAGAGAAGCACATTTCACCTAGAGAGAGTGAAAGAGTGGCAAGTTTTCAAAGTGGTTACACCGCCGCAAACTACAAGGGATGTTTCCTAAACCCAGAGTCTTATTTCTGGAGATTCTAGTGTTTTGGAATATTCACTTTACGTCTTGGGCATCGGTGCCTTCCGTGTGGTCTGGCCCTCTGGGGCGCCACTCTTGCCCTGGCATACTGCTGTATCCCCAAAGGCCTGAGCTCTGAGAGGAGGTGAGTGGGCAGTAGTATTTCTCTCCTCTGAACAGTTCAAGGAGCTTCCTAAAGTTCCCATGGCCCAGGGGCCGTTAATCCCGAGGACTCCCCCACACATCCTCCTTGCTTGTAAGGTAGCCAAGGACTGGGACATGTTTGGTCAGAACTGGAGCAGCCCATCTCTCCCATTCCTGCCCTCCCCCAGCTCTGCCAGCTCAGAGGCATGAAGGAGAAGAGGACGCACACGAGAGAGGACGAGGGACCAGCTCCAAGAGGGACTTCCAGGGCTCGCGACAGGCTTGCTGAGGTAGCATAACAGGAAGGATCGCTTCCTCCCCTAGGATGAAAGGGTCCCTGACACACAACCCATATAAGTACCTGAAAACGTCACCCCTCCCACACAATGGCCAGACAACTTCCAAAAGTGATGTTGCTCTACCTCACCGGCCGTGACATCACTTCATTCATTATAGTCTCCTGAGAGGCTGACCTTACAAGGGGGAAAACGTGTGTCCGGCTTTTGACAACTGACCCTGAGGCAGATAATGTGAGTTCTGTGTAAAATGGCTATTACCTGATGTCGGCATCAGTTTTACAACTGTTGCTGCGATTGCTTTAAGCATTCTTCTGGTACAGCAAATAATCAAAAATGCAATGCTACCTCTAACTTACAAATAAAGAATCTGAGATTTAGCAATCTTCAGGGACTAGAGAATATTCGCATCCTGATTTAGAAGATTGTTTCTTGAACAACTGAAGCAGCATGCCTAGCAGAGCCTCTCATAACATGAATATATTCTCACCTTTTTTCTTTTTTAAGATTTCTCTTTCGAAAGCAATAAATTACAAGTTACAAAGACCTGTTTAGACTAATCTACACACATAGCACCATCCTGCCTTCCAACTTGATCTTATGGCTACTCTAGGCCAGGGCTTCTCAACCTCGGCACTACTGACATTCGGGGCTGGATCACTCTTTGTCATGGGGACTGTACTGCGTGTTATGGGATGTTTAGCTACATCCCTGGTCTCTACCCTCTAGATGCCAGTAGCATCCCCACCTCCCAAGTTTTGACAACCAAAAATATCACCAAATATCCTCTGGGGGCAAAATCAGCCTCAATTGAAAACCCACTGCTCTTATGGTTCCCCTTCACCGTCAAACTTCCCATAACTGGGATAGTTTCTTCTCTTGTTGGCCCATTCTAATACAATCAGGAGCCCGGGTCCCAGGCAGGAGGACTTGGATTGTTGGATTAAGCCCCATTAGTTGAGCTCTAGACAGAGAGGCTCCAACAGAACGGAGAAGACTCGGGTGCCTGGGGCTTTGACTTTCTTGTCTGGGAAAGTTAATGGAGCTGTGCTCACTGCTCCAGGGAATCTGAGGTTGGGGTTGAGAGTGTGACATTCACTAGATCCTCTAATGCCAGTGTCCCAAGGTTCTGTTCTGTAGACAATTTGCAGATTCTTTAACAGTTTATTATAGCCCAGCCTAAAGTTGGTGGTTATCTGTAGAAGCCGGCATATTGAACTTGAGTTTGTACTAATAAATTTTATTTATTTATTTATTTTGTGTCTGAGGAAGATCAGCCCTGATGTAACATCCATGCCAATCCTCCTCTTTTTGCTGAAGAAGACCGGCCCTGAGCTAACATCTATTGCCAATCCTCCTCCTTTTTTTATTCCCCCTTTTTCTCCCAAAAGCCCCAGTAGATAGTTGTATGTCAGTTGCACATCCTTCTAGTTGCTGTATGTGGGACACCACCCCAGCATGGCCGGACAAGTGGTGTGTCAGTGCGCACCCGGGATCCGAACCTGGGCGGCCAGTAGCAGAGCACGAGCACTTAACCGCTAAGCCACGGGGCCGGCCCCAAATTTTATTTATTTTTATTAGGGAGAGTGTATGTGAAGAAGCTAAAAGACTTTTCTGCTTGCTGTATGGTTCTGAAAGGTTGTCTAACTAGTCCCAGGGATGGAAAAACTGAGGCCCAGAGAGAAGCTATGAGTGACAGTGCTGGAACAATGACTTAGCAGTTTCCTTATGCAACCTTCTGCTTTTACCCAAGCAACTTTGAAATTCTTAGTGAAAAGGATCCAACATGTTAATAATGCTTCTCAGATACGGCTCTTGAGGGTGGGGACAAATGGGTTCTTTGTTTTGAAACCAGTGGAAACCATTCAAAATTCATTAAAATTATCCAGTGTATCACTTGGGGATAAGGGTCTTTAGGTGAAAATATGCCCTTAGAGTAATTTGGATTTTGGTTTTTTAATCTCATACAATTTCCAGATACCCTGTCTAGGATAATTTAATATTATACCTGCAAATTGTATACTTACAATAAAATTTTTTGTTTCTAAAATAAAATTAAATAAATACAAATTTGCATGGCATTGCTTTTTTAGACAAGTTAGTAATCTTGTTTAATTTGATTACAATACTTGTAAAGAGAATTAACATAGGCTGGCTTTTTAATCTACTTTTCCAAGTCAATGACAAATTTTGCCCTGAAATCACAATATCCTTATTTATTTTAACAAGTCTCTACAATATCATCTTTAAGAAAAATTTAGTGTAATTTATGCTGACCTTAGGTGATAACCTGTGTGAAAGAAGCAGGAGGAAGGAGCCCTTCCCTGGCAACTTCTCCAGCTCCGATATGACCTTGAAGGGCAAGTCCCTTGGCAATTGTTACGAACCAAAATTGAGTGACTCCTGGTCTGGATTGGTTGTGTGTGTGTGTGTGTGTGTGTGTGTGTGTTTTACGTATTTCTGATGTAAACTGTAGTCTCAACTTTTTCCTGATTCTAAATTTTTTAGAATAGTGAATGGTGTTTGTATGAAAACAGAAGCCATTTAAAAAAGAAGGAACATGTTACAGAACAGCCAGTGAAGAGAGATATGCAAATCATCCCTTGAACATAGAATAGCTTTTGAGTAATTAGTTTTTCAATACTACAGAAAATAATTTTCAAACACATCAGATCTTTCTATATACTATTACAGTGAGAGGTCATGGTTAACTTAAGGGTGTCGGTGGTAAAAATTCTGCTCAGGCAGGACAGTCAAAGACCGGAGTCAGGAAAGAACTCTGGTCGATCGGTGTCCATTTACACCCATAAACGTATGGGAAGAGTTAACCATAAACTTGTCTGTCCATTTCCAGAGTGAGTCAAAAACATTCAGCATTTATGATAGCTATCTTTGTACAAAAACATATGGAATTTAAAAGGAATAGTTAATGACACATCTGCTAATATTAAAAGTTCATTTAACACTGGAATTGATCAACAACAGTGCTATAGGATGTCTCACACAGCACATTCATGAGAAATGTATCTAAACATTTCTACAGATCAGCATGTAGCTTGGGTAAGAGTCTCTTTCCTAAGGGCAAGACTCTTGATCTAGTCTCATTTGAAGTTCCTTTGACCCCTCTTATTCTAGGATTCATGAAATTTTCTTATAATTTATTATCACATCTTATTTCCAGTTTCAAATTCTGTGATTAGAAAGCTTGTATTATTTAGCTTTTATGTATGTGGCCAAAAATAAGTTAAATTATGCTAAGAGTACATCCAAGGTACATCACTATGTGAAAAATCTTGACCAAATGACCTGAGCAGGAAGAATCACTGGCTTTAACCATTAATTGTGTTTGAGTCACATTCTCTGAAACACGAACATACCGAAAAATCTTTCTCAGCAAATCCACCAATCTTGGATTTTTACTTTATAAGCTGATAAAGAGACAATTTAGCTTCTCCAAAAGATTCAGAGCTGATTCCATCTTCGGAGTTGGGTCCCTAGCTTCTTCTACAAGGGACCTTTCCTCCTCTCTTGCTCCTCTCCTAGGAGAGGTCAGGACGTGGGAAGCAAGGGGAGGAGAGGAGAAGGCAGGGTGGGCAAGGTAAGGGGTGAGGGCAGGGAAGGGACCCCACTTACCACCACTGCAGGACGCGCTGCTGGATAAGGGGCAGGGCCACTCACTGCAGAATCCACAAAGTAGCTCATCCTGCTTCACCACCTGCGTGGGAGAAAGTGTCACTGAGCTACTGGATTCACCAATGTGTGGACTAGACACCACAGAAGGATTAGAACTGGGAGCCTCCTTGGGAACCGTCGAGTTCACTTCTTTGTGTTACAGAGAAGGAAAGTGAAACTCAGAATAACAACATGACCGACCCCCCGCATAGACAGTGGGGCAGACCTCAGACAGAGGCAGTCCCCTGACTGCAAGGTAGCACGGATCATGGATAGCCTCTGCATGCTGCAGACAATAAACAGTAAGAGTCTACAAAAGATCCTTTTGTAGAGTTCCTGAGCAGGGACCGGGTCTTGAGGGTCTTCTTCAGTAACATCCCCATCCTTATACCACACTCCCTCCACCTTCAATCAGACCTGGCGCATAGCAGACACTCAATACACAGTTGTGGTGAACGTTAATTGATGAAGGAATAAACAGAGAAAGGATTGGAGAGAAGCAGGATGGAAAAAGCTTTCCTGAAGAGGCATATTAACTAGGACTCCAAGACACAGGTAAATAGAGAGAAGCCCTGAAAAAGGGATTGAACACTATTTATCTTGAAAAAAGGAGAAAGACTATTAAATAAGTCCTGTTGAGAGCTATTATCTACATTGGAAGTCTGAATGACGGGAACACTGGAGGAATGTTCTGGCTGAGGGGATTTTCCAGCTAGCTATCACTATTAGGAAAATCATTCATATAGCAAACATTTCTGTTGATCTAAATACTCTCTGAAGTACATTAGTTCACACACTTTCATAAATTCAGTATTATACACTAAAAATTAAAAAATGTCTTTATTGAATGATTTAGAAGAATAAATTCCTAGATATATCAGAGGCCAAATTCCTATTGTTAGGAGTGACATTTTAGTTTCAACTTAACTGCTTTCCACTATGTGTGTGTTTGTTCTTTTCCTTTATTCTTGCTAACATTTAAAGCCACTGACACATTTCAAGAAAAATAAAGAGCATATTGAAGCTCAGCAATATAACATTATACTGACAAATGGCTACCATCACAGACAACTAATATCATACGGTTGAGAAGTAAGTCAAAACCTTCTGAAGACAACTTATCCCAGGACTGTGCTTATTGTTTTTAACTAAAACTTTACCTTTTTATGATGTTTTTTCCCCCAAAAGTAGAATGCAGCCAAAATAATATTAATTTTTTAAAAATAAAATAACTAAGGGTAGCTACGCTACATTAATCAAGATTTTGCTCTCTAGTTTTCCGGGGATTTGATCTCCATGGCAGCAAAATGGCCCCCAGGAAGAACTCCCCGGTGGTAAAACTGAAGAATAGAAAAGGATCAAAGTACTCTAGTCCAAGGACATGCTAACATCTGTATCGGTGGTCACCTCTGTGTCAGACTCTGCGCTGGGCCCTGAGCATGAAACAATAATAAGGTGCGTGTGACATAAGTCAGGCTAGACTCATCCTGACCGTACATTGTAAGGACAGTCTCAGGGAGCTCAATGTTCCCTTCCTACTGAAGAATTCCTTATTTCTAACCTTAAAATCAGTTTTAAAGTCCTAATGAATCATCATTGATCCATACACCCTTACTTCAGAGTTTTTGATCTACTCGTGGACAAGACTTAAAAGTCAACAACACAGGGCCGGCCCCCTGGCTTAGCAGTTAAGTGCACGCACTCCGCTACTGGTGGCCCAAGTTCGGATCCCAGGCGCGCACCGACACACCGATTCTCCCACTATGCTGAGGCCACAACCCACATACAGCAACTAGCAGGATGTGCAACTATGACATACAACTATCTACTGGGGCTTTGGGGGAAAAAAAAGAAGGAGGATTGGCAATAGATGTTAGCTCAGAGCCAGTCTTCCTCAGCAAAAAGAGGAAGATTAGCATGGATGTTAGCTCAGGGCTGATCTTCCTCATTAAAAAAAAAAAAAGAAAAGAAAAAGAAAAGTCAGCAACACAGATTGTGTCACACAATGGATTACCCGTGATCAGATTTCTAGGGAAAAGTTGCTCATCTCTCCAGGCCCTAAATGGCAACCTATACCTTTGGGAAATGTCCAGGTGTGGGGAGTACTGCTTTGTGCAAGTCTTTCAACCCTTCAATTTCCTCCAAAAAGCCCCACGGATCCCCTGAGTCATCACAGACCTCAGTCATTATTCAACAAGCACGTTGAAGGCTTCCTTTGTTAGGAACTTGTTTATTCATTCAGTAAACAATTACTATGCACCCGCTATGCGCCAGGCACTGTTCTGGGCACTGGAGACACACTGGTGAACAAAGATCCCTGACCTCATGGACCTTACACTCTATCAGACTCAGGACAAAGCTGGGAAAGACAGGGTCTCTATCTCCAGGCAATGGAGAAGACAGACTTACATATAACTTTAACATAGTGTGATGAGTAGTTTACCAATAATATGGAAAAAAATGAGTAGACAATTCTGCTGGTGTGGGGAATAGGGAATCATGGAATCTTGCACAGTGGGAGTTGTGACTAGGGCCCTATGAATCATCCCTAGACTCCCACAGGCAGCAAAAGACCTTCACCCTTTTGAATTCCTATTTTACTTGTATGTTTGTGAGAGAGAGGACCTCTGGAATTGGCAGCCTTGTCCTGAAGCCCAGCTCAAAGGCACCAAGAGTTTCAGTCTGCCAGCCAGACAGCTCTCCTCCTCATAGCAACAGTCCACAGAGCTTGGAAAAAGGTCCAAGGGAAATATGTTTTCTCTTTCCAATTGACAGAGGGAGGGAGGAAACCTGTGGCCCCACATATGGTGCATTCTGTGCTGGGCTGTATTCTTGAAGCTTCGTGCTATATGAATGACACTTCCCTTGGGGAAAAGCCCTTCGCCCAGAGAGGAAGCTGAAAAGAAGGAGTTGCCAGGGCTCTCAAGGGCTCTCATCTCAGGAAATAACTCTGGGACAGAAATGGATTACTGCCGTATTATTTTTTGGAGAAAGAAAAAAAGAACCCGCCCTTTTTCCACTTGTAGAGTGTGACACAGAACAGCTGCTGTAGACGTAAACCCTTTCAGAAAAAGCAAAAGGAGTGATCTTTTTTTTTTTGACTTGTTGGCCAAAGAGAATTCCCTCCCACATGACAGCTATTTGAACATCAGCTTGACCAACTTTTTTGTCTTGGCATTCTAAACGTTTATTACCAAAATACAAAACAACTGTGTGATTTAAGATTTACTCCCCAGCCTAGAAGCATCCACAGGCTTGCCTAAATGTAGAAATGATTTGAACACTTGGTAGCAGAGAGTTGTGAAGAGCTGAGTTCATTTTTCTCAAATGGGACCCGCAATGCCCGAGCAGCAGAATAAATGTGTCTGAGGTGACTTGGTCTTCAGGAGGCGGCCGAGCTCCCATGTGGCCTCCACGTCTGTGCTCCCACTGGGCGGCATCCATCACCAGGCTCCGCTGCACTCTCCACTCCTGTAACATGGAGCTGCCCGTTGTTCCCATGAGCACACAGTGGGACTTATCCCTTCCCTGCCCTTCTCATGTGGTCACCTCTGACAGAAATGCCTGTCTGCCCTCCTGCTCCTCAAGACTAGCTAACTCCCTCTCCTCAAGCTGTGAGGCTCATCTTAGACGTTTTCGCTGCCAGGAATCCTTCCCGAACCACCCCTCCGCCCAGCCAGTGCCAGCTGCCCCTTCTCTGTGTTCCCCACATGCTTTTCTGTCACTGTGCACAACATGCTTCCATTTCCCTCTCCCACTAAACTCTGAGCAAGTTGAAGGTGGGTACTATGCCTTCTTCATCTTTGTATCTCTGGAATTTGACAGACAATGGAGCATAATAGCATTTGTTGTTTTTTTTTAATTAGTGAATGAACGAATGAATTGGTCTCACAAGACTGAAAATGTAAGATGTAGATCAGATGTAAATACATTTGATTCTCAAATCAGAGAATCTGAATAGACTGCAAAACAGGATAAAGATGCACTTGAAGTAATAGGTTTGTTTCATGATCCATCTCTAAGGGAGAACTGTCCCCTTTATTCACTAGCCATTTAATGTCACCTTATCAAAGAAGCCTTTCCCACCACCCCAAATCAACAGCAGCTCCCTGCTCTGACAGTTAGCTCCTTGTTTATTGTCTCCCACACTTCCCCCCCATTAGAATGTAAGGCCCTCCAAGGCAAGGTCTTGGTCTATTTCTTCACTCTATCCCTAGATCCTAGACAAGTGTTGGTTGGTAGCTGGCACACAAATCATTCTTGAGTATAGGAGTGTAAGTTGGGAAACTGGTACACACCCTCTAACTCACTTAAGCCCTCTTTTCACAGATAAGGGAAAAGACTCAGGCAATGCCGTTACTGGCCAAGCTGAGACCTGACTCTAGGTCTTCAGCCACCTTGTCCTGCGCTTCTCCGTCCTCACCACCCTGGATTTTTGGGATAAAAGTGAGTAATCTGTGCAGAGGACAAAAAGGTAATAATTTGGTTTAGGTGGGTGTCTTGCATCCAATAATGCACTTTGAACTAGTTTTCTGTGGGACTTGGGGGACAGCTCTATTCTTCACAAAGCATGTGACCACTTCTGGAGCTTTCCACCCTCCACAAGCCTAGTAACCAGGCCAGGATCTGCAAGCTGAGACTTCTTTTCACCCAGGTCTCTCCAGGGACAAGTTGAGTGATACAGAGAATGAAGAGAGCCTGGGGAGTTAGAAGGGGGTTTCAGGCCAAGGCAGCAGAAGAGCAGGAAACCCCAGAGAGACAAGGCCTTAATGGAGGGTGCATCCAGTTCGCATCAACTCTGCCCTGCTCGGCTGCATTGCTAGATGATAACTGTGACACCAGTTAAGGGTTCTTCATTTTCGGTTGTGTGCTCTTCAAGTAAAGACTATGCCTTTAGATAAATAACCCAGTAAACTACACTTTAAAAAATTTTTCTTTCGAAAATAATTGTTTTTGCCAAAATAATATATATTTATTGAAAAAATTACAAAATACAGAAAAGTCTACAATGAATGCCAAAATCAGCTGAAATCTCACCACCTG